AAGACGAAGCAACATTAGGTTCCAATATTGAACGATTATCACAATTAGCGTACCCGGAGTGTACTCATCAAATACGTGATAAAATTGCATGCGCGCAATTTATTTCGGCCCTATCAGATCGCTTTGTAAAAAGAACGTTACAGTTAGAAGAAATCACATCACTTAAGATTGCAGTTCAAAGAGCTAAAGCAATAAAAGAAATTCATGAAAATAGTTTTTAAGAATCTTTTAATGAAGTTGAAACATCCGTAAATCAAATTAAAAAAATAGAGAAATAATTTCTTTATGTGTTAAGAAATTAATTTTGTTTATTCGATTCTGCTTATTTTCTTTCTGTTTAGAGTTTTCTAAAAAGAAAAGAATTTGAAGGTTTGAAGAAGGGAAGTAGAGGGTTGAAGAAAAGAAGTGGAAAGGATATTTGAGGAAAGGAAGTGGAGAAAAGATATTTGAAGAAAAGAATTTGAAGGTTTGAAGAAAGGAAATGGAAAGGATATTTGAAGAAAGGAAGGAAAGGAAATTTTGGAAGAAGGAATAAGGATAAAGATAGGAAGAAAAATGGAAAAGAGAAAAGAATTTCAAACATTTTCAATAAGAACTGTCTCGCCCACGGTTTTTGACCGTGGTTTTCCCGTGGGCCGAAGAGCAAATGCTGAGGCAGGGACTTGAGAAGTCCTTTTTAGGGCGCTGGGTCCACGGCAGATACCCCTCTCTTGTCTGAAGAATTGTAAAGAGCGGCAGCATAGGAATTGAAGATGGCGAGAAGAAGTTAATCGATTGGGACCTGGATTGGTGCTCGGTAACTTGTTGCAACAGCACAAGGTAGAGCAAGGAAACCAAGAGGGAACCCTGGAGTCGATGGTTTTTTCGAATTTAAAGGTGTTCGATTGGAATCAAGATAACGGCGCTCGGTAACTTGATGCAGCAGCACAAGGTAGAGCAGAAAGTCGTTGAAATGCCCTGGAGTCGACACTAGAAGTTCGAAGATAACAATTAACTTTCCTGGATTGATTTCAAGAATGATTGTCGGGGCGACAATCTTGAAGAAGAGGGGCAGTGTTGCGCCCGTACTATTTCGCCGCTGATGCTGTGTGTGTTACAGCTGACGGACCGATCGATAATATCGATCGGTCATTAGAGAGTTGAAGCCAAATGGCATTTATTAATAATCTTTCTTATATTCGTTGTCAAGACAACGAATATTGATTAACAGTTTAAAGGGTCTCTATGACAGTTATAAACAAACTGTCATATGTCAGGTCTGAGATAGCTGTCAGCTCGAGCGGACGTTTATGATAGCTCCGGTCTTTAAATCATATTTCCGGTTTCTTATTGTAAAGTTCTGTGTTGTTTATTAAAGTGTTCTCTGTTTATTCGAAGTGTTGTGTTGTGTTGTTTGATTTCGTGAGTTTCGTTGTCGTGCGTGAAATACTGGTTCGCGGACGCAACAATATTAAATAATTTTAATAGAGCTTATAAAAAAGGATTGACTATTCACAATATTGATTTAGCTCGATGGGCTGTTCGGGCACAGGAAGATTTAAATGTACCAAGATTCAATGAATACAAAAATTTAAATTGATATAATATTGTATCTCGTAAAATAACAAAATTTGTAACAAAAAAATCTATGATATCAAACGTCGATCTTGAAGAAAAGTGTAATACATTTATGAAAAACGTCAAATAACAAATAACACGACATGGAATTGAAAATATTTATAACAGCGACAAAGCGGATTCTAATTAGAACTTTATGCCGGTCATACATTGGCACATGTAGGAACAACAAAATATGAATCTCTAGTACAATATCCATATCGGCAACCACACATAGCTATATTATATAGCATACTATTTCAGTCAATGGTAGATTATTATCGCCTTTTTTTATTGTATTGAAAGAAGTTAGTGGAACGTTTGGTTCCAGAGTGCAATGTTCAAGGCACCTAATATTTTTTTGTTACGGCTTTGAAATCTAAGAAACTAACATCGCATTATTTTAAAATTTGGTTGCGTATTTTTGCTAAATGTAGGACCAAAATCAATTTTAGTATTAGATTCGTAGGCAACTGGTCATTGTCCAAATATTATTCAAGAATCTAAATCAGAATCTACAAAAGATATTATTCTATTATACCGACTGGAACAGCAGGAAAAATACAACTTGATGTGTATGATTTTTGTTACGTCCTGATAGAAAAAGATTTCCAAAACTCGGCGATTAGTGAGGGAAGGGACTGATCGCTTGAGCCGAGCGGTGCACGACTTGTGACAGGTCAGTGACCAGGTAGGTCGTTTTTACTCTGTCAGTAGGTCAATCGCTTGTGGATTCCTTTTTAGATCAAAGAATTGAATCCCTTTTACGAAGAGTGGAACCCTTGTGCAACGTCTAAAAGAGGGAGAGAAAAAACAAAAGGTTTTAAAAATAAAATAAAATAAAAATAAAATTAGTTTAAAAATTTACATTTAATTCACTATCTTTGGGTTATTACATTAATGATAATTGTACGAGAGCCTTCGTTCTCCCGTAGCAGAAAGAAATTATTTATTTGTTCCGGTTCTTTGGTGCTTATTCTCGGCTACGCGGTTCGCGCTTGAAATGATTGATACGCCTCGTGGGTTTCACAATTCTTTATTTAAATTCACTCCCGGCGATCAGTCTGTACATCGAACTCATTCGCGCTCGCGTTACAAGTCCTTTTGTCGCGTTACACTCGCGTTGCACGTCCGTGCTCGCCGCTCTCTTGTCTCGGACTCTGGCTGTGCATACAGCTACCGGCACGTAGTCGACGCTAGCCGCTAAAAAGCTGCCTATCAGCTATCGACACCGCGAGCTTGGTAACAAGCTGCCAATCGCATTAGGCGTTAGAAAAATACGACAACTTGTTTTTCGGCGATTTCTTATACGGACGCGAACTAACCGCTTGAAGGCCGCTTCGCTCGGAATAAACAAATAGCGGCGAAATAAAGGTTAACGATTCTCGAAGCTTCGAACGAACTCTCGCTTTCTTATGAGTAATCCCGAACATACCGCCCGCCTCGCATGCAGAACGTATGCAAAATTTTCTCAACTTAATGAGAGTAGAAAAACGTGACAAGACTGATCGATACGGCGATACTTAGAACTGACTTAGAGTGATACTTAGAACTAACAATGAACGCAACTTATAACTAACGAAACGGCCGAATCAATCCTCGTGCTTTACAGGCAGCCGACAGAGTTGAGTGATCGGTCGCTTAAAGGTCGAACGCGCAGTCCGAATCGTAACAACTCGCACGAATCCGTCAGCTCCAGGATGAGTCTGTTGTATTCTAGCGAGCTCCCATTTGCTCGGAGGGAGCAATGGGCTCTTGATGAGCATACTTGATAAGTTCACCGATCTGAACATTAGACGTAGATTTCGTCTACTTGTCTCTCTGTTGAAGAGAGTGCAAATAATCTTGCAACCACGCACGCCAGATTTGCTCTTGCATGGCACGAACGAGTTGTCATCTTAACAATCTACTCGACTCTAGCGCAAGTACTGATTCCTCCGGAATCACAACGAGCAGTCGGCCTATCAAAAAATGGCCCGGCGTGAGCGCGGACAGGTCGCTCGGGTCATCGCTTAGAGCCGCGATTGGACGCGAGTTTAAGCATGCTTCGATCATACAGAGAAGTGTCGCGAATTCAGTCTGGGAGAGAGTACGCGCTCCCGCGATTCTACGAAGATGCGTTTTGAAGCTTTTAACGCCAGCTTTCCAAAGACCGCCGAAATGAGGCGCGGCGGCTGGTATGAAATGTCAGTCAACTCCGTCCTTGATGAGGACATCTCGGAGTGCAGGCTCCTTGACAAGAGCGTCGAAATAGCGCTTTAGCTCATGATCAGCTCCGCGAAAGTTTGTTCCGTTGTCACTATACAGCCTCTTCGGCAATCCCCTTCTGCTGCAGAACCTTTTAAAGGCGGCAAGAAAACCAGCCGTGGAATAATTCTCAATAAGCTCAAGGTGAATGGCTTTGATAACTAGACAGATGATCAACGCGATGTATGACTTGCGCGCCTTGTGTCCTCGACCGACGAAGGGAGTTACGAGAAAGGGACCTGCATAGTCCACTCCGGTATGCGAGAAAGGAGGAGATGGATTGACCCGAGAGGAGGGAAGGTTCTCCATGAGCTGAGATGAAAGTCGTGCCGAGTGACGAGCGCAGAGTACGCATTGGCGTATGTGGCTTTTTACGGCGCTACGGCCACCCAGTAGTCAATAACGTTGGCGGAGCGTGCGAAGCACCAGTTGTACGCCCTCATGAAGCGTATCCTTATGAATTCTGTCAATGAGCAGTGCGGAGAGAGGACCTCGCGGTAGAATGATTGGATGCTGCTTATCGTAACCAAGCGCTGAATTCTTTAACCGCCCGCCAAGACGGAGTAAAGAATCTTCCCCAATGAACGGGCTTAGTGCTTTCAACGGGCTTGATTGAGATACTGAAGAACCCTTCTTCAGTGACTTTAGTTCAGAAGCGAATGATCTTCGCTGAACGTATCGAAGCCAGAATAGTTCGGCTTTAAGAAACTCGTCGGAGTTTCTAACATTACAGAGAGAAAGGACCAAGCTTCTTCCTTTTGTCTCGAGCGCACGACGAATTTGCGTACGTACGCGGTAACACGAATTAATTTGTTCCAACTGGAACATCTATGGAGCAAATCCCACTCGTCATTGCCTTCCACGTGAAAGGCGACTGACTTGCGGGTCTCTGCTAATACAATTTGTGCAACGTCAGGTCCAACTGCACTGGAAACATCATGGATCTGCCACGATGTTGAAGGTTGACAAAGCCACGAGGACCCCGTCCACCACAACGGATGAGAAAGTAACTCGGAGGCCGATAACCCGCGCGAAGCGCAATCGGCTGGATTGTCTTTCGACGGTACGTGATTCCAGCGCCCCAAAGGCAAGTTACTCTGTATCTCGGACACTCGATTGGCCATGTAGGTGGTCCAGTTCGAGGCATGTTGGCGCACTCACGCCAGAGTGATGGAGGAATCTGTCCAGCCGTAGACAGGCGTTGACGGTATTCGCAAGGAACTAAGAGTCCATTTAATGAGTCGACTTAGAAGTACGATAGCGTTGAGTTCCAGTCGCGGAATGCTAGCCGTCTTGACGGAAGCAACTTTGGTCTTCGCAACGAGTAAGCTGATTTGAAAGCTTGACATTGAGTGAAGAACTCGAAGATATACAACAGCGGCGTAAGCGCGGCTAGAAGCGTCCGCAAACCCGTGTATTTCGTAAGCCAGATCGGATGGATGTTGACCAGTCCATCGCGGTATCCGGATCTCGTTCAAACTTTCAAGTTCCGCGACGTAGTCGCTCCAGCGCTGGAGTAACGTGTCGGGAAGAGGTGCATCCCAATCGCAACGGAGAAACCACAGTTCCTGCAGCAATATTTTTGCAACAATGACGACAGGCGCGGCCCAACCAAGTGGGTCGTACAGTCTAGCAACAAACGACAGGATTGAACGTTTTGTGGGCGTGTCCGGAGCAACGAAATTAACAATGAATCTGAAGACGTCTTTGAGAGGAAGCCACGAAAGACCGAGAACTTTAAGAGACTCGTCTTTTAGTATGAGATGGTCGGTCACCTCGGGTTGGTCAGCCGAGAGATCTCTAAGAAGATCACTGGAATTAGACGCCCACTTACGAAGCTGAAATCCCTCCTTTTTCATGAGCTCGACGAGCTGAAAACGAGTATCGGTGAGGGATCTGACGTCATCAGCCCCGAATAACGCGTCATCCACGTAAATGAAATCCTGAAGAATTGAAACTGCAGACGGGTAAGCATTTCCTTCGTCGAGAGCAAGCTGCTTCAAGACGCGCATTGCTAGGTACGGAGCCGGCGCGAGACCGTACATAACTGTAAAAAGTCGAAAGTATAAGATTATAAGATTAATAATAATAATAAGTATAAGATTGGCGAGTCATCTGACGGACGCCAAAAAATGCGCTGAAAGTCCGCATCGAGCGGATGTATTCGTATATGACAGAACATCTTGGCGATGTCTGCCGTGTAAACGTAGCACCACTGGCGCCATCGTAACAGAACAGCAGGAAGATCTTGTTGTAATTTCGGTCCAATCAACAAATGATCGTTCAATGAAGAGCCGTTTCGTGTTTTGCACGATGCATTGAACACGACTCTTAATTTCGTAGTGCAGCTAGCTTCACGTAAGACAGGATGATGCGGTATGTAAACCGGAATAAAATCGGTCCTATCCATGCTAGCCACAGGTTTCATGTGCCCGAGAGAGCGATATTCTTCGAGAAAATCGCTATATTGAGAACAAATCTCGGCACGAGATTCCAGTCTCTTTTCAAGTCTATTATAACACGAAAGAACAATAGACAATGAGTCTCCGATATCGATCGGCGGAGCATGTTTAAATGGCAATCGAACTACATATCGTCCATCTTGAGAGCGACTATGAGTGTCATCGAAATGACGTTCGCATCTCTCTTCCTCCTCGGTGAGAGGGGGCGACAGAGAGATCTCCTCGTCCTCCCAGAATCTCTGGAGCAACGAGTTAACATCTTGCGTAAGAACGCAATTTAATACAGAAGCTTCCTCAGAAGGTGATTCTTGATTCCCGGTAGGACCGGACAGGATCCAACCGAGCGGTCGATTGTGTGGTCGGCGTACCGTGCGGATCTTGACGCACATCGTTCTTCAAGAGAGAATCATAAATGTCGGCACCGATCAACATATGAATGCGGTGATGACTAGAAGGATCAGGATCGGCAAGAGACAATCTTCGCAGATGAGGCCACGACTCCACAGACTGAATTCGCGAAGCAGCGTAAGAAGTTATGCGTTGAAAGACGTAGGCTGTCACGGGAAACGCAGGTTTAGACAGCGCGCACGGCGTTAAAGTCAAGGGTACGCGTGATTTTGCCGAACCCGTAAACCGTTCACCGAAACACTTGATTTGTAGATCGGCTCGCTGACGCTTTGTACGCAGCGCTTGACAAAGGGACTCAGACACAAAGCTGAATGTTGATCCCTGATCTAACAACCCAGTAAACATTCGATATCTTATGTATATACATGAAATATCCATAATGTGAAAAAAATGTACTGTATATACTATGTACATACATATGATATACGCTGATGTAGATACATTTGTGGATATACATAAGATATCTTATAGATATACATAGAATGTATATTCGAACAAGATCGCTGCCTGTATATACGTAGAATATACCTCGTGTACATTCCATGTATTGTGACGTGACGCTTTTGGAGCGCCGTCACAAGGGCAACAGCCCGGCCGAGAGAGCAAAGAGTTCTGGAGTTGCTCCTCGCTTTGAGAAAGCAATTCGCAAGACTCCACCCTTCAGCTCGTATTATTCCATATTTCGTTTCCGTTTATGTTTTATTTGTCGATACTGTTAGATTAGTTTGTAAGGCGAGAACCCGAGCGGATGGTATTGCGTGCATTGTGCCTCCGGGCGAAGACGTCCGCATCGCCAAGAAGACCGGACGTCGGGGGATCATCAACGGGCGTCACATGCTAGTGACCTCGACGGAAAAAAGATCCAGTATCGCGCCGCCGTCAATCCCGCCATCTGAACCCGTTTCTAATGCAATCTTGCTTCCAGCTGCAACGCCAAAGAACAAATAAGGCACGCATCGGAGGACCTCGCCCTGCTGCAGAAGGCGCCGAGAGTCCTCAAGATACCACCGGAGGGACTGGAGTACGGCCCGGCCAGCCTAATCAGCCCTGCCCGCGGATAACAGCTCTTACCGATCGGTTATCGACCGGCGGACCAGTCAGTTCTCAGAACCAAAAAGAAGCCGGGGTGCTTCGAGAGAACCATGGGCGGTTCTTGGAAGCCTCTCTCGAAGAAATCGGGAAGATGTGCGGAAAATCGGCGCGGGACGGGAAGAACCTACAGCCCAAAATTTTGAGGAACACTGTTCGGTGTGCCACGATAGTACAAGGACCAGCTCCAGGACTCGCCCAGACGACGCCGAAGACGCCTATCACTGTAAGCCGCCTCTCGGGTAGCCGTAGAGTTCTGTCCGAACAAGGCTGGTAGCGTGAGCCCATCCTGTTTTATGTCTCTCACAAGACTAACACGCGAATTTGATACCGTGAGCTCCGTTTTAGACGCTCAGTTATCGCATATCCAGCCGGCTCCGGGTATCGTGTCGAAGCCTCTCTATCGCGAGCTAATCACCGACAGTCTCTCGTTGTTCGTTACCGTATTGATTGTACCGATTTCCGTTACCGTTTCTTTTTTGATACCGTCTTTCGTTGTCGTTTTTCGCGATCTCACTATTTAAAATTATCGTACGTCAATGTCCGCGGACGGATTTTGCGCGAGAAGTGAGGAAAATCCGCGAAAATAGCCGCTCCGCGACATAGCCTTTCTGGCCGTCAGATTACCGTTCGTTTCAAACTGTGTTTATTTGGCCTTCATTGGCCCCGTCGTATTGTCAATATATGTGATATCTGTTTCGCCGAGTATCGTTGAGTCAGCTACCGTTTTTCGTGATTGCGTTTCAAAGTTCCGTACAGTTACCGAAGTTTCTTTTATGCTACCGATCTTGCGGGCGATTTGTATCGCTGCCGCCTTTATCGAACAATTATCGTCGCATCGGCTCCGGCCAAATTATAATTGCTCACCGCATTGTGATCTACTCATTTTTAACCTTGTCACTGAATCTGTGACTTATCAAATATACATTATTGTTCAATACTAATTATTGAGTTGTCCTTGTGTTCGACTCTCACTCCAGATTCTCATCGTAAAATAAACGAACTGCACCCCTCTGCCATACACTGAGCAAGGAGCGGCCGGACATATTATAAGAATTATCTAAGTTACCGTTACCGCGGTGCGATTACACGCACCTGGCGCCCATTTCCGGTTACCGGTTTCGTCGGGTTACCTCTGTTACCGCTATTATCGAATCGTGCATTTCTTGCCGATACCGCACGAGTTACCTTCCCACATAGCACACAAATATATATTGCATATACAGTGTATATACATCTATGGATATTGAATATCCATGGAATATCCACAAAACTTAAATTAATATCCATTATACATCCACTGTATCTTCGAATTGATTCCAGCAAAAATTCATTTCATATCCATAGAAACTACATCCGTACATCCTATATATATATATGGATATTTACAATGGATGTTTTTTATATTAAGAAATGTCCATTGAAAACATCCACATGATATACATAGGATGTACGGATGTATATTCTATGGATATGAAATGGATCTTTGTGCTGAAGTCAATTCAAAGATACAATGGATATACACTACATATTAATTTAAGTTTTCGTGAATATCCCATGGATATTCAATATTCATAGATGTATATACATTGTAATATATATTTGTGTGCTATGTGGGAAGTAAATCGTAATAGGAAAAGAAATAAATTGTATGTTTGTTTTAATCTATTTTAATTTTCTTCAATAGAAAATTATAACAATATATAATTATCGTCCTATAATAGTTAATTATTTAACACTCTATCTTTTTGAACAAAACAAAACGTAGAAAAAAAACAGTCATTTATATAATATTTGCTTTTAAAGAATATATCTTCTTACATATATAATACTATTCGTAGTTTTGTTACACAAATTTTTTTAACAAAACAAATACAAAAAAAAACATTAAGTCATATTTAGTATTACATTTAAATAATACATTGCACTTATATCTTTCTAAATTTCTAGTAAAATATATAAACGTTGAAAAAAACACAAATCGTTATAAACGTAAAAAAAAAACAAAAAAATTTTTTTTTAAACAAAAATTAAATAAAAAAAATTTAACGGAATGTATAAAAAAATAAGTTACTCTATTTGTTCTTCGGTACAGTCCATTTTGGTTTAGTAGGTGCCTCTTGTTCAATTTCTTTCAGTTCAGTCGAAACTTTTTTCCGTTTAGTCGGTGTAGTCTTCTTTGGTTCAATTTGAGCCTTCTTTGGTGCATCGCTCCCTAAAATCCTTGTGTTATTATAAAAACGCTCCTTACTTCTCACGAGCCACGACTTTATTATTTCAATAATTTCGTATTCTCTACAATCTGCTGTATTTTTATTCGCGCGAACAACATCTGAAAGTAAATGAATAAGTGTTTCAATACTGCAACAAAATTTGCTTTTATTATGTTTTTTTTCTTTTAAGAATTCTAGTATTAAATAAAAAAACAAACACTAACCTATGATTACTGAAGAAATCAAAAGTGATTTAAAAACTTGTTTCTTTTTTTTGCCTTTCCAAGAGTATTCCATGCCTAAGGAATTTTCAAATAATCGATACATAACCCGTTTGACAACCTCCTTCACTGTTGGTCCGCCTATTTTGCTCAATTCTGCAACCTATAAGAAAAGAAAATGTAAAATTTTGTAGACACTTACATGAGATTTCCGTGAAATTACTAAAGTACCAAGTTTTTTTTGTTTTGTTTGGTTTATAGCCACTCCTCTACTTGAATTAATCCTGCCGAGTCCATAGGAAATAAGTTTAATATTGGCAGTGGCTCACTTGGCAAGATCGTGGGTTTTACTATCGTTTTTGATGCAATCACCAATGAAGAAATTGACTCAGAAATGGCATTAAGTTTTAAATGCAGGAGGTTTATATCTTTCAGACATTGCTTTTGATATTCTGTAATGAAACAAACCATATTTAAGCATCGAAATCAAATTAAAATAAATATATTACATAAGAGAATAAGAAAATTTCGGTATACCTTTTAATTCGAACAATTGTGCTTTCATTATCTGCCTTTCTTCACGTTCTGATACAGTCTTATCAATCTCAACAGAATCATTTGTATCGTGTTCAATTTTTTTATGTTCCACACGTTTTTTGTTTGTGAAAACTTAAACAATAGTATAAACAATAATTTAATTAATATATTAGACTTATTAATATGCATATGAAAAAATATTATAGATAGATTACAGAATTACCATCAAAATTTTCAAATTGAACGGGATATTCATTCGAATCATCGTCAGAAACTGCTTTCTCGGTGTCACTGCTACTAGAAGCGAATCGACACTTTTCAGTTTTCTTCGACATTTTTTGGATGCATCTCTTCTTTTTTAAAACCAATGATTCGTCATTAGAAGTTAAGAGATCAGTTGTTTGCGCTTTTTCAGCTTTATGTTGAGCGTATTCTAAATCATCTAAATTTGTAAATAAAACAATAAATAAATAAATAAATAAATAAATATTGAAAATTTTTCCTCATGTTGCTACTGGCTTAAATCTTAATATTGATTTTTATTTTTTCTAAAGTATTTTTAAAAAATTATTTTTTTTTAAGTGAATTTATTTATTATTAACTAATCGTCTTTTAAATCCCGAAAACCCCTGATCCTTTTGTATTTAAATAAATCTAGAAAAATAATAATTGATAATTCTATGATTCACTGAAATCAATATTCCTTACATCAAAAGTTTTTTTAATGAATATTTTAAAATTTTATGCATAATTGACTCACCATATTTGTACATAATATTATCATAATAAAAAGGCAAAATTCCGTATAAAACATTTTAGGAGTTCTTGAGCGTAAGAAATGGATGTCTCAGAAGTAGCATGACGCGGACTTATAAGAATTAAACTTGCTACACTTAGCGTTACAAAATTATTATATATAAATGTTGGTAATATTTTCTTTAACACTAATGGACCACTGTACAATAAAAAAAAACGAAATTCTGTGCCTTTGAATCTTTTACACTCTTCTATTGATCTTGTTTTACGAGAAAATTCGCATGGAATATATTTTTTTAATATTGACAACTGTTGCGATATTTTTTGCACATTTCGGGCATGCAATTTATGTGGAGGTTTTCCAAAAATCCAGCCGCGTACCGATTATGGCACAAAAGCCTCTTGCATGCACCTAATAAAAGCGCATGCATGTAGTCTACGGGAACATTGTTAATCATATCAAAATTCGGTAAATTTAATAAACTGCTTGAACCAGTATGATGTTCAGGTTGTTCTTTATTTCGAAATGAAGTATCAGTTCTCTTAGTGCAATCAGTTTCAATGAAACACATTACATTATTGTACATATCCCCTGTTATTGTGCATTTTGGACACGAATAATACCCGGAATGGCCTTTAGTAGCTAGAACAAGTGATTTTGCTGGTGTGTCACAGATTAACATTAAAACTTTAAAATTACAACAAATTGAGTTAATTATAATTCCATTGCATGATAAGTGAATACATTCATTAATAAAATCGGATAAAAACTCATGTGGATTTGGTTTCTCGTCGCCATGGAAGAGAGCTACTAAAAACACTTTTCCTTTCAGAGCTGGCACAGACTTTAATGAGTATAATATTGGCCAAAAAGTACTGTTTGTACTTTTGGATATAGGAAGTCCATCAATATTTACAGCTAGATCTATATCTTGGTTGGCATGAATTTTTATCCTATGTTTAATTAGAAGTGCATTTAATGAACTTTCAATTCCGAAGTAATAGAATAAACCCGAGCTTATCTCTTTTACGAATAATGCACAAGGTGTTTTTAAAAGTGTTCTAGGATCTTTTGGTAAAACATTTTTTAATGAAGGCAACATACGCAAAATTCCAAGTAATTTTCCCGTAGACGACAAACTGATTAGCTTTCACTAATTGCCCACTGTGCTAAGGCAGATTTAAAAGTCTCTCCGATCGTTTTATAATCACTTAAAGAAATATTTGTTGTGCACGGTTGAAAACTAATATTCGTATGTTTCTCAAATGTTGAAGATTCTGTTATAAATTCATCTTTTCCCGCAAAGTCAAAATTTATGAGATTATTTGAAGGTAATGAATCACGTAATAATGTATCGCTAGCATTAATCGACGGACTATTTTGCTTAGTCGAATTGCATGCGTTACTTAAATTATTGTTATTCATAGATAGTGTATTAGCGTTTAAATGAGAAGCATTATTAATTATCGCTAATGATCGTTTGAATCGTTCATTAGCCTTTCTTAAACGCTTTTTATGCTTTTGTTTTTCAGTGTGTTCCATTATATTTATTATTTACAATAAATACTATTTTTTACAGATAAATTCAATTAATAATCTTCAACTGAAAAAGGAGAAATATAAACATTTGTTAGAATTTTTGTTAATATATACCGCTGCAACATTTGTTCCTTTCTTAATTTGAATCAGTGAAATTTTCACATGACATTTTACTGTTGAATCAGAAAATGATTCTCATTCACTGATTAATTAATGAAAATCTTGCTCTTCTTGTATTAAAAATAGATTGTGCATGCTTTTAATCATTATGCTCTGATAAATTTTCACATAAACTGCCTGCTACCCAACAAATACAAAGTATAAGAGTAACATAACCTTACAAGTGTTTTAATGTCCCACTCATTAATGTAATTGTTATATACGTAATAAAGCATATTACATCGCAATTATATTGTTGAGTGGGATATTATAACATTAATATTATATTACTATTAATATTTGCTGAGTATGCTACGATTAAAAGTGCATTTTTCTAACTTTCTTCACTTTTACTGCGATATGTACTAAAATTCAAAATAAGTATTTTATCAAAAAAAAAAGCCAACAGTGACTATTCACTGAAGATCTATGAGTTCTCTGATTAAAATTTAGAGAGAAATATCAAAAAAGAAATATCAAAAATGCGAATGGGCATAATAGAAGTTCAATTTACTTACTTTATTCAAATAAAAAACTTTTTTTCGACTTGTCTGCTTTCACTTCCACTTTGTCGATGCTTTTGGATGCTTCGTTTTCGATTCCAGATTACTTTAGGTTAAATAGGCAGCAGGCAGCGGCAACGACGAGACAAGCATAAACAAATTTTGTCGCTCGAACCAGTGATGCAAGGCAGAGGTGCCAGTTTTCCCCGGAGAGCTCCACACGCACACAACTGAGACCGGCTGACGTCACGTGTCCGTGTGCGCTCGGCTGTCGACTGGTAGAAGTGAGCGAACCTATGTCTTGTATCTCCTTCCCACCAAGCCTAGCATTAAACCGGTTTTAACGCTCGCACCATTTCTTCTGCCAAGCGTTGGCAGCAAAATGCTTTCCCGAATTTCGCTCCACGCGACTAAGTCGACTAGCGGCGTGTTGCTTTTGCTCGACGCGATATTTTTTCTGAGATTTACAGTCTTTTATGAAATATATATCATATTTATATTAATAAAATATTTTAACATTATGTATTTGCAGAATATGATTTTTCACGTTAATGTATAAAATAAGAATAAAGTAATAAAAATTATATATCGCAATATATAAACAAAACAAGTAACATTTCTACAATTTTAGTAGAAAAACATTTTTCCTATTAAAATATATTAACATGAGTTAATTGCGACAAAAATAAGCTTTGAACATATTTAATATATTATTAATTTTTTTATATGTTCCAATTTTACACATTAACGTGAAAAATCACATTATAAATGCATAATATCTTTTGTAAATAGCAAGTTACATTGAGAAGTAATGGAAAGAATTGATTGAAAATAAAAGAAACATGTTTTTACTTAAAAAATATTTATGACTATTTTATTTAACACAAAAGTAATCTGGACAAAGCATACCAATGTGATTATACATCGGATAGTTTAGTATTTTAACTTTATTTTAACCATTTTAATATAGTGGTCTTCCGCACCACCCAAGAGGTGGCTCTTCGCCACAGGAACCCTATTGTACCACTTTTCATTTTTCTTTATACATTACCTTTATATAGATATGGTGTCGTTTGCAGACAAGATACTTATCATACACTTGTCGGTCATAAATGTGGTGTCATTTGTAGACAAGATATTTGTTACATATCGTTTACAAGTGTGTCATTTGCAGACAAAATACTTGTTACATGCCTGTCGTTTATAAGTGTGGTGTCCTTTGTGGACATATTATTGAAATTTTATTTATCTTAATTAAAAATGATAAGGGTCAACAAATAATAAAATTATAAAAGGAAAGGAGCAATAGAAATCAAAACGCTAGATTTTAGTGCGAACGAACTTGTATTGAGTTATAATAACATTAGTATAAACAGACATTTCATAGCCTGTCATCAGGCTATCCTTAGTGTGAAATAAATAAAATACATATGAAAACGCACGCTGATTTACATTAAGATCTGAGTTAAAACAAATATAATTTAGACGCAAGATTTGTTGTACAATTAATAAAAAAAGTTAGTTTTAACATTGATATAATCAATGTTAGCTCGTCGATTTTACAAATAAAAGCTCGTCGGTTTTACAAATAAAAGATAGAAGAAAAAAATTAAAAATTGAAAATTTGTCAAAAAATTTTATAAAAAAAGTTAATTAAAAATAAAATAAAATAATAAAATTAATTAAAATTATTCAATATTCGAGATCAACAAGTTAAAGAAAAGTTAGTTAATAAAAAATAATAAAATAACATAAAATGAAATTTATAAAATTTATGTTAAGATAAATAATAGTTTTTTATTATTGTATAACCTCTTCCCCGACTGCCTCTTCTGTTCCCCCGGCCACCTCTGTTGTTCTCGCCTCCTCTTCTTTTTGTTATTCCAGAAGGACCTGGTCTAACATTATTGTCATATTGTAAATTTCGCCGAGCGTACCACCGTTCACGCGACCAACCACCTCCTCTTCTTTTTTTCTAAAAATAAACACATTTATAGATTAATAATTTAAAACAATTATGCATATGAATAAATCATTTAGTTACAAAAAATAAATAAATATCAATATATATGAAAGAGGCTAATGGAGCCACCGCTGGTTGTTAGTGCGAATTTTTTTATCTCTTATATTTTTTTTCTCGTTTTCCTTCCTTTTAAAAAACTTGCTTACTTTAATCATACATTCCGATTTTTGAATAATAAGATCGATGTATGCAATTTTCGTACACTTTAGTGTCTCGAATCTGAGATCAGTGTACATTTTAATGTCTCAATGCAGACGAATCAAGTTTCTATACAAAACATAAAAAATTTCGCACTAACAACCAACGGTGGCTCTATTAGCCTCTTTCATATATATTGATATTTATTTATTTTTTTGTAACTAAATGATTTATTCATATGCATAATTGTTTTAAATTATTAATCTATAAATGTGTTTATTTTTAGAAAAAAAGAAGAGGAGGTGGTTGGTTGCGTG